TTTTTTTTGATAATGAGAGATTTTCAGCAAATAGCAAATATGGTTACAGCAAAAGATATTAAAGTTGGTCGAATTTACCCAAATTTAAAATTTATTCGCGAATGTTCGATTAAAATAGCATTGGCAATTGCAAAACATTGCTATGCGGTTTGTATTTTTTACATCAAAATTTGCATTTATTTAATTACACTAATTATGATATTTTAATTATGGTATTTGAATGAAATCATTAAGTGAGTAAATTTTAAAAACTTTTAAATTAATAATGGATAAATGTTTTATTCTCAAATAATACAAATATGAATTTTTGCACGGATGAATTTTCCATTAATTTAAGAGGAAATTTTTTTTTCTTTGTTACACAAATTAATGGATAGATAACGAGTATATATTTAATATTTAAGCAAGTATTATCACATTAATTAATCATAAAAATGATCAACTATGATTCCTATCAGATATTTGAATAATTAATTACAAAGTTATGATTAGGATGTTTATTATTAGATATATAATTAACCGGTTTATGCATACAGTAATCAAAACCATCCTATTGTTGATTATTTTTACGAGAATAGTTTTGATAATTTACAGAATGGAACAGCGGCATTGTATCCGGAACCGGAAAATTTGGAAAAATATATTCGTTCACAGATTTATTCAGTAGAATATGATGAGCTCATTGATGTAACATATAAATGGCCGGAGCAAGATATGAAACAAGGATTTCCGATACCGGCAGTAAGACGTGAATCCGCCGAAGAATAATGGAATAATCAATGTGTGATTTGATGCTTAACTGGTGATACAATCAATTATCACTTAACATATTAATTTTAATGATTAAATTAGGAAAAGGTTTTCTTTATAAATCTTTTTTTTTTTTTTAATTAAAAAGGGTCTTTTTTTTATAGGCCTTTTTTATATATTTCTTTACAAAGGTTGCTTTTTTTTACAAAGGCTAGAATATTATTTGGATCTTTTTAGATTGCTCAAATTTTAGAGTATTTTTCGAGAGAGAGAGAAGGGAAAAAAAGGAAACTC